GTGTGTCTGGGTATGAGGGACACCTGACTGTGCCTGTGTGTGTCTGGATATGAGGGACACCTGACTGTGCCTGTGTGTCTGGGTATGAGGGACACCTGACTGTGCCTGTGTGTGTCTGGATATGAGGGACACCTGACTGTGCCTGTGTGTGTCTGGGTATGAGGGACACCTGACTGTGCCTGTGTGTCTGGGTATGAGGGACACCTGACTGTGCCTGTGTGTGTCTGGGTATGAGGGACACCTGACTGTGCCTGTGTGTGTCTGGGTATGAGGGACACCTGACTGTGCCTGTGTGTGTCTGGGTATGAGGGACACCTGACTGTGCCTGTGTGTGTCTGGGTATGAGGGACACCTGACTGTGCCTGTGTGTGTCTGGGTATGAGGGACACCTGACTGTGCCTGTGTGTGTCTGGGTATGAGGGACACCTGACTGTGCCTGTGTGTGTCTGGGTATGAGGGACACCTGACTGTGCCTGTGTGTGTCTGGGTATGAGGGACACCTGACTGTGCCTGTGTGTGTCTGGGTATGAGGGACACCTGACTGTGCCTGTGTGTCTTGGTATGAGGGACACCTGACTGTGCCTGTGTGTGTCTGGGTATGAGGGACACCTCTCTGTCTGTGTGTGTCTGAGTGTGTAGGAATACCTGGATGTGCCTGTGTGTGTCTGCGTATGAGGGACACCTGACTGTGCCTGTTTGTGTCTGGGTGTGTAGGAATACCTGACTGTGCCTGTGTGTGTCTGGGTATGAGGGACACCTCTCTGTCTGTGTGTGTCTGAGTGTGTAGGAATACCTGACTGTGCCTGTGTGTGTCTGAGTATGAGGGACACCTCTCTGTCTGTGTGTGTCTGAGTGTGTAGGAATACCTGGGTGTGTCTGTGTGTGTCTGGGTATGAGGGACACCTAAGGGATACCTGTGGGGATCACTCTCGTGTGAGGCCCCTAGGAATTGGGCCTCACCATAAGGTGAGCTTGAGCCCGGACACAGATCCCTGGTTGGGGGAGTCGAGCTGAGGGAAAGCAGGAACCGAGAGAGGGACTATGTTATTCTAAATAATCAACAGACATTACTTTATGGATATGAGGATTTGGGAGGCAATGTGTCCACTTTTGGCTCCTTATGGTTTGTTGCTTGATTGTGTTCATTTTGGACCCTTGTTACCTTCGTTGTAAAATGTTAACTTAAGTATTTACACTTGGTAACTTACCGTAACTTACTGGGTGTAACTGTAACTTACCATAGCTTACGGGGCGTGACTGTAACTTACTTACCTTGACCTATTGGACATAACCTACTTACTGGAAGTAACCTACTTATTGGGCATAACCTACTTACTGGGCTTAACTTACTGAGTGTAACTTAGTGGGCGTAACTTGCTTACTGTAACTTAAGTACATTGATCTGGCGTAAACAACTTTAACTTCAGAAAAGTATATAATGAAACATATTGCAAAAATAAAATTGCTGCATGGGCATAGCACATGTAGCCCTCCAGACCTCGCTCTTTTCTATCTCCTTTTTTTCTGGCGCATGCTCTCTTCCAGGTTTGGGACCTTCTCACTGGACAAGATTCCCCGGCTCGCATTCAGTTCTCAACAGCTGGCACCCAACATGGGGCCTGGACACGCGGGACAATCGTGACGCCTACAAACTATAGAGGTGAAGCTGCAGTGTAAGTGAGTGAATAACCTTTTCATCTGGAGTAAAACATGAGGCAAATAGAGTCTAAAGAGCATAAATTGTACAGCTTTTGCAACATATGATTAAGTCACATCGTCATGACATTAAACTTAAAACTGTTGAGGAATTTGTGCACATAGTGCGCGAGCTTTGTATTAAGTCACATGGTCGTGACATTAAACTTAAAACTGTTGAGGAGTTTGTGCACATAGTGCACGAGCTTTATATTAAGTCACATGGTCGTGACACTAAACTTAAAACTGTTGAGGAATTTGTGCACATAGTGTGCGAGCTTTGTCCGTGGGTTGTGGATTCTGAGATTAAACTTAAAACTGAGGGAGCGAGGGGCATACACTGCTCTCGTGTGCTCTTGCGCCACTCGCGTGACTGGTGTGTGTGAGCGAGGTGCCGGCTCCGGGGACACAGACTGCCGAGCGCACGCCACTGTGAGGGGCTTCCAGGTCCAAGTAAGCTACCCAGGCTGGCGCGAGGTGCGAACAGGCGGGCCCAGTGCTCACTCGCCCCACATCTCCTCCCATGGAGGCTGCTCCTCGGCACTGCCAGCCCCAGCACCGCTCCCCGGGCTGGCCAGAGAGAAGTCAGCAGAGACGGCCGCCCCAGCTCGGCAGGAAGTAAGTCAGCGAAGGCAACAGTGGCCCCAGCCTGGCCAGAGAGAAGTCGGCGGCAGCGGCCCTCGAGAACTTGGCGGCGGTGGGACCCGCGGAGCCGCTTTGTGTGCAACCTGACAAATTTGACAGCGGTGCAACCACCTGACAGAGGCCCAGGCACTTGATGCACCTTCCGCCCGCATGAGGTGGAGAGGCCGGTAGAGGACTGTGAATGAAAAGTTGTCCCCCAGGATGGACTTCACCATGCAGCTCAAGCCTGCCACTGCCCTCTGTGGTGTCGTGAGTGCTGATGGAAAGATCGCTTACCCTTCGGGTGTAAAAGAGATCACTGACAAGATCACCACAGAAGAGATGATCAAACGCCTGAAGGTTTTGGGGTTCCTTAACATTTCTGGACCTTGGTATGATGATGGGAACTCAAATGGATAACGATAAGAAAATTGACGAAAAACTTAATGCTTTGGAACAAACTGTTACTATTCTTGGTGACTACTACTACATATAATGACACTGAATGGCAGTGTCATTTACAAGGAATTTGGACTCAAGACAATTTCCTTCTCCCGGTACTCTTTCGCCTTGTGTTCTCCTCCCTTCAACAATTGCGGCTCAAGCTTTTTGAGTTGCATCTAAAAACAAAAGGGAGAACTAAGGGATACCTGTGGGGATCACTCCCATGTGAGGCCCCTAGGAAATGGGCCTCACCATACGGTGAGCTAGAGCCCAGACACAGATCCCTGGTTGGGGGAGTCAAGCTGAGGGAAAGCAGGAACTGATAGAGGGACTATGTTATTCTAAATAATTAACAGACATTACTTTATGGATATGAGGACTTGGGAGGCAATGTGTCCACTTTTGGCTCCTTATGGTTTATTGCTTGATTGTGTTCATTTTGGACCCTTGTTGCCTTCATTGTAAAATATTAACTTAAGTATTTACACTTGGTAACTTACTTACCATAACTTACTGGGTGTAACTGTAACTTACTTACCATAGCTTACAGGGCATAACTCTAACTTACTTACCATAGCTTACAGGGCATAACTCTAACTTACTTACCGTAGCTTACAGGGCGTGACTGTAACTTACTTACCTTGACCTATTGGGCGTAACCTACTTGCTGGAAGTAACCTACTTACTGGGCTTAACTTACTGGGTGTAACTTAGTGGGCGTAACTTGTTTACTGTAACTTAAGTACGTTGATCTGGCGTAAACAACTTTAACTTCAGAAAAGTATATAATGAAACATATTGCAAAAATAAAGTTGCTGCATGGTCATAGCGCATGTAGCCCTCCAGACCTCACTCTTTTCTATCACCTTTTTTTCCGGCACACGCTCTCTTCCAGGTTTGGGACCCTCTCACTGGACAAGATTCCCCGGCTCGCATTCAGTTCTCAACAGACACCTCTCTGTCTGTGTGTGTCTGAGTGTGTAAGAATACGTGGCTGTGTCTGTGTGCGTCTGGGTTTGCAGGGACACCTTGCTGTCTGTGTGTGTCTGTGTATGAGGAACTGCCACTCGTTCCTGTTTGCGTCTGGGTATGAGGAAGCCCCACCTGGGCTTGTGTGCGTCTGTGTCTGTGTGATGTTCACCCCTGTGTTGGCCCTGTCACGGGAAAGTCTGAGCAAGCGGGAGCTATGGCTTTGAAACGATCGGATTCCAACTCATGACTCATGAGTCTATCGTAGCCTGAGGACTTCCTGACTCATCATCGGTAAAGACCCCAGGGACAGCGTTTCAACCACTGGCAGAAAAGGGACAGCAGGATCCTAGCAGCCTGCTGGGAGGAAAAGGAGTCCACCTTAGTGAGTACTCACTCCATGTCAGGCACAGTGACGAATAAGCAGCACACAAATTCACAGGTTGCCTCAGCACTTTAGGATCCCATTTCATCTGCCAAATGCCCCATGAGGAGAGTGATGGCATTAGGGCCTCAATTCATGGCCTCTCTGAAGTCTACTTCCTTTGCAATATGACTTTGCACCGACTCCCATGCAGAAGTGGGGTCTCTTTCACTTCCCCTTGAGTCTGGGCTGGCCTATGACTCTAGATTTGATCAATAGAATGTAGCAGAAGTGATGTAGTGTCAGTTTGAAGCCTAGACCTCCAGTGGCTTTGTAGCTCCCGCTTGCTGCCTTGAACCTCGGCTGCCCTGCAAAGGAGCCCAGGCCAGCCTGCTGGAGGAAGAGAGGCCTTGCTCTGCATGTATATTGCGCTGAGGGAATGAACAGCTCCTTGTATGTCTGTGCCTGCAGCCCCAGCTGAGGCCCTGCAAACCAGCTCATTGCCAGCTGGCCACTAAATTTGTGAGAGGTCCCTGCCCAGATCAGCTGAGCTCCTACCCAACCCACAGCTGACTACACTCACATGCAGCTGAGACCGAACCACAGGCTGAAGTGTAGACTCATGCATAAAACTAACTGCTTATCTTTCTCAGGCACCGAGTTGCAAGTGGGTTGCTATATCAGCAATAGCTTGCTGATAGAGGCCAGTGTCATTATTCTCCCCATTTTACAGATGAGGAATTGAGAATAAGTAAAAACTTCCCCAAGATCCCACAGCTTGTGTGTGAACAGAAAGAAGTAGGATTCGAACCCACAAAGTCTGGTTTCAGGATTTAGAAGTGTCTTTGTCTGCTCGGGCAGCCAGAAAAAAATACCACAGACTCGGTGGCTTAAACAACAGGCATTTATTCTCACAGTTCTGGAGGCCAGAAGTCCAAGGTTGTGGTTTCTTCAGGGCTGATTCTCAGTGAGGCCTCTCCTCCTGGCTTGTAGACAGCCGCCTTCTTACTATGCCCTTATATGGCCTTTCTTTGGTACATGCAAGAAGAAAGAAAGTGAGAGCTCACTGGTGTCTCTTCTTCTTATAAGGACACCAATTCTGCTGGATTAGGGCCCCACCCACATAACTTTATTTAACCTGAAGGCGTCATCACCAAATATTGGAGGCTAAGACTTCAACATATGAATTGGGGAGATAGAGCAAAATTCAGTCTATAAAAAGGAGTTAACCTCTATGCCAAGCCACCTTTACAGTCACAGTAGGGGTTTCAAGTAGCAATGACTATCTCCATTTGACAAGAGGTGGAATCTCAGGCTTGGAGAGTTGTTCTCTGGACGCCTGTGGCTGTAAGGAGGCTAGGCTGGCCTCTAGCCCTGTGCACTCCCAGTGGCCATGCCAGCCTCCAGTGTGTAACTTCCCTTCCCCTTTCTTACCAGCTGCCTCTCAGCTTCTATTTTTCCATGTGCAGGCAAGTTCTTGAGGACCAGGGCTGCAACCTCTCCATCTTGGTAGTCTCTGTGCTTGACAGGCCTGGCCCAGAGTAGAGGGAGGTGGGTAGGAGGAGGGCAAGCATTGATCCCAGAGCCTGTGCTTCCCCCTGGGGTTTGCTCTACACTGTCTCCCAGAGTTTCCCAGAAGAGTTAGGCCCCAGTTGCCCACAATGGTAACTACTCAGTAATTTACCCATCCCTGTCTCATTTCCCGACTCCCCTGTTGTGTTGAGATTGACTCCTAGGTAAGCGACTTGCACTAGACTCCTCATCTCTGGATCTGATCCTGGAGAAACCTATACTGTGATGGAACCCCTCCGACCCCTCTGGAAAGAACACTTTTTCTCTCCTGATGGCCTGGCAGGAGCTGGTCCAGACCCTGATCTCCAGGCTGATTCAGGAGAATCCCAGGGAAGGGGGCCACAGGCACAGCATCTGGAAGGCTCTAGAAAAATTTACTTCTGCCCATCTGCTTGGCCAAGGCTGTAGACCCACAGGCTGGGGACAGCTTCATCTTGAGCCTGGGTTGTTCCTGAGGTTGGGCCATCCCCCATGTGGTCACATTGGTAGCCAGAGCACAGCCAGGAACAAGCAGGACCCAGATGATGGGACCGGAGAGCTCACTTCCTAAGATTCTGCTTTGCATATTGAGTCACGCCTTCAGAGGATCATAAGCAAGACACATCTGGGGAAGCCCCTCTCTTGATTCGCTGGGTTCTGCTAGACAACAGAGCCCACAGTTTCTCTCCTTGGAGGCAAAAGGAGAGTCCCAAGGCCCGCTTGTTTTTCTCTCCCCTTGGGCGCCTCCAAGGCCTCTCTAACCATCACCCAACAAACAAGGACCTTCTTACCCCCAGGAAAACCCTCCACGTCAGCAAACTGCTCAAATGTGCTGACCCCGGGCGCACCAAGTCTGCGGTGGGAACATCTCCTCCTTGCGGTGGCTGGATTTCCCAGCCCTGCCAGGGAGAACTCATAGGTTTCTCGTAACTCAATTTCTCAGCCCATGTCCCTTTTTAACATCATAAGTTTTAAAATGCTCTTTTATTACAAAGAGTGGGGGAGGGGAGGAATAAGAGGAGGAAAAAAACAAGCAACTATAAACAAAACATAAAAGATGTTTAATGGACGGCAAATGAGGCCACAAGGAAACAGCCTGGCATTGATTTTCCCTGACATTTCACCGATTAAATTATGAGCTTCGTAAGGGAAGAGCTGGATTTTTTTCATCTTCTTCAGGCAATTAGGGTCCTTTAATAAAGAACAAAGCGGCTATTGTCTGGGCTCCATGTGGGCCCAAGTTCCTTGACAGCCAAATAGTGGTGCTTGATTCTGGACATACAAGATACCTCCCGATTTAGGGGACCTGATGGTGAGACCCAGGCCAGGACCTAACCCCATCAGTCCCTCTTTAGGGGTCTGGTGGGCTCCCTGGCTCTGTCTCTATAGTCAGAGCTGCAGCCCAGGAATGATGGGAAATCCCTGGGATGGGGCAGCCATGAAACAGAAAGATCTAGAGTGACTGAACTGTTTTGGAGAAATTTAGGTTGGTCAGCCGAAGTGTGGGGTCTTAAAATACAATCCATAAATTCTGGTATGAACCCCATCAGGTAGGCAGAAAGATCTCCACTTAACGGGTGAGGACACTGAGTGTGCTGAGAGGTGAATTCCCTTGCTTGGAGCCACTCACCGTGTTTAAGTGGCAAAGTCAAGATTCTCCCAGGATCTGGTTTCCAAGGCCTGACCGCTTCCATCACACTCTCCGCCTCCATCTGCAGGGTCCCAGGCAACAGGAAGCCAGGCAGTATGACTGGCTCTCTGGGGGCAGAGCTAAGATGGAGGAGGCAGCCACGGCCTCCCTGTCCCAACAACTGTCTCTACCAGTAGAGCCTAAACCCACCCTTTTCCATACCCAAGACCCCCTTTTCTCCCTCTTGTTTCCCTTGTAAATCTTAGTCTCAGCTGCTTCACTCCCAGAGAGGTATTAGCAGTTATTAACCACTTACAGCTGAACCCATTCCAAAGCTTTTTATATATCGAAAAGGATGAAACTCTAAAACTGAGGGCACAGAGCCACGAGGAGGCATTTCAGGCATATTGGTAACCATGGAAAAAGAAAACCACCTCCATAGCTCTCCTATATAAGTCAGTCCAGTAGTGGGAGCCAAGGAGGGTTGAAGATCCCAAAGAGAGCAGCCTAAATTACATCTCCTGAACCGTTCTGGTCCATGTACTTCTTGGCATGACTGAGACATGTGACTGAGCATTGGGGCAGGGCACACCCAGGCTCAAGTCTTCTGAGAGATCTGCTCACCCCGTCCCTAATAAATCACCTCAATGGTAGGTGTCTTGTACCTCCAGGCTCCCCCACCCTTCAAGCACCACTATTTGCCTGTCAAGGAACTTGGGCCCACATAGAGCCCAGACAAGAGCAGCTGTATTCTTCATCCAAGAATCTTAATTGTCTAAAGAATTGTCTGGTGGGTCAGGACTGATCAAATATTTTACCCACCCGAAGACAGGGCCCTCCTACATATAATCCAAGAACAAAAATTTTGCCACTTCTCCATTATGAGGACATCACTTGGAACGATGGCATCCGAAAAGATAAGAGCTGGCAGGTATCAGGTGCCTGCCACATGCCCGCCTCAGAGCCAGGCATTCCACTATGCTGTTGCTGTCTATTGTCAGCTTCCACATGAGGAAACTGAGCCTCAAAGAGGTCGGGACGCAATGGTTCAGGAAAGGGAAAATGACCCAGTTTGGGCCAATGAAAGTCTGGCCTGAAACTTTTGCTTGACTGCCTGAGAAAAAGGCATGCTCTTCCGGCTGGGTTTGCTAAGCTGATAGGAAGGACACCCTGGTGCTGCTGGTGGCCACTGTTACACCATTTGGCAAGGAGGCAAAGCAGAAAAATGCAGAGCCAAGAGACGGAGAGAGAGATTCCTGATGATAAGTTTGAGCCTCTGGATCCAACATGCCTGAAGTGAGTTTACTACTTTTTGCTATGCAAACTCCTCAAACATAAATTTCTTTACTTTCCTCCTTTATTTCATCCTCCCTTGATTTTAGTTTAATTTATGTCACTTGCAACTGAAGAGTCCTGAGTAGTCTGTGCATTCAGTGGGTCACTCCGGTTGCCCATCTGGTCTGTGGTCAGCCAGGTCGTGAAGTGCTCCAGGAATATCTCCCTCAGCATGACCCTTTTATTCCTTCCAAACAAGCTCATCTGAAGTGGCCCAGCCAGTGGCTTTCCATTCAGGAAGCAGTGACTTAGGACACAGGTAGCTACTCAGAGACCACAGAACAAGGTGCTAAGTATTTCCGGATCTCAGCCCTCAAGGGACTGACTGTCAGTCTCTCAGCTCCCCATCTACCCTTTTCATTACACCAGGTTGGATCAAGGACTGTTTCCTCTTTGCCTCCCCAGATTCTTGCATAAGGTTTGGCTTTTAGTCCATGCTCAGTAAACATCAATTCAGCAAACTAAAGTGCCAAGTGAGAAAACTGCTGACAGCTGTGGCAGGGACTGCTAGAGTCTCTTAAAATCCATTCTCCCTTTCTATAATCATATTAGAACTCTTGGTTTTTAGCTAAGCAAGGAGCCACCAAAAAAGAAAGACTACATTTCCCAGCCTCATTTGCATCTGGCTTTGGCTATGTGACTATGATTTGACCGATGGGAGGCGAGTGGAGGTGATCTAGGTACATCACTCAGGCCACACCTTTAATGAAAAGGAGCACACACACAACCCCTCCACTTCCCTCTTCCCACTGGCTGAAATGTGGACATGGTGGTGAGCCCCTCTACACCATGGAAGGCCAGCTCCCAAGGAGGATGGAGCAACAAGATGGAAAGGGCCTGGTGCCCCACAGAGCTCCCACTGAAGTCCTGATTTTTTACATCCCAACTCTTCTGCTGGAGTCACTAGTAACAAAATCTACACCATCACTAATATATCCCACAAGTGTGTGTTCCTGAGGCGGGGAGGCGGAGAAGGGACAGGATGTTCTGGGAGGGGACAGGATGCCCTCCTCCAAGGAGCATCTTAACACCTCTCGTTGTTTGGTTCTTATCGTGGGTAAGGCACTTTCAGCTACCATGTCTTCCTGTGAGGGGGGAAGGTCAAGTTGGATTAGCCCCATTTCCAGATGGGGAAACTGAGGCTCAGAGAGGTGGAGCTGCAGCCAGGAAGGGGCAGAGCTGGGGCTCTCACTTCAGTCTTATGTTCTTGCCACACCCTGAGCTGAGCTGGGCTGGAAGGAAGCACTAATCTGAGCTGAGGGAGACTACTAGCCTGCCTTCTACACATCTGTTAAAGCCTTAGGTCTACAGAGAGAAGAGCTTTGGGCTGGCCAGGGTCCATCACAGGAGGCAGAACCTGTGATTCAGACAGCTCATTCTTTCTTCCAATGCACCAAGAGCCCTTAACTCTGGGGATCCTCTTCCTGTTCCTCTCTGCAGAATTGAAAGAGGTAAGTGCATCTCAGAGATGAGGGAGGCTGAGGCCTGGACTCGAGTTGATTTTAGAAGTCAGGGGCTCAGCAAGGATGGAGATTACTCTTTGAGCTATCATTTAACCTTCCCCAAGACCTTTCCTCTCCAACACAAATATAATTCCTGTTCTGGTCACCCAGCCTATCCCAGGCCTGGTAGGTCCAGGAAGTGCAGGGACACCAAATTCTGTGGTCTTCGGGGCCCAGGGTGCTGAGGCCATGGCTCTTCTCCCCTTTGGTGCCCATCACTTTTCTTCTTGAGGTCTCCTGCTGTTAAAGAGAAACAGGCTGAAGAGGTTTCCTCAAAGAAACCTCTGACCAAAGAAACAACTTTCCAGTGTGTCCTTTGGCCCATAACAGCCCTGAAAAAGTCTCCTGGGACACCAGATGGGGCTAGTCCTTAAAAATATTTTTAGAAGAGCAGGCCAAGCTCTGAGAAGCTTGGGAGCTGTGAAGGGGGCCAGGAGACTGGTAGGCTGCACCTTTCTGATCAGGCTTATCAGCCTGAACCAGGTGGATCCCCATACTCTCCTTCCCCTGACCTGGTGTGGCCAGATGAAGTACAGGAAGTTTGAATTACAGCTGAATAACAGGTTTTTACTATCAGCATGTCCCACATATTGTGCAAGACATAGTTATCCAGTACTAAAAAATTATCGATTATCTGAAATTCAAATTTAACGGGGCATCCTGTATTTTTATTTGCTAAATCTCACAACCCTACCCTGACCCCCATAGGTAACAGTCAAGTCTGAGAGGCCCCACACAGACCATCTCCTGCCAATACCACTCCAGAGGCCAGGGACCATCTCTGCCCTCTGTCCCTGGGGCAGCCCTCGATGATCAAAGCTCCTGGACCTCATCTCCCTTCCCTCTTTGTCTCTCCATGTGAAGATTATCAATAATTCACTCAGTCCAGGGACATGGGTATTTATCATCCCCCTTGTATTGATCTGTTCTCATGCTGTTATTTGAAATAGCCAAGACTGAGTAATTTATAAAGAAAAGAGGTTTCACTGACTCACAGTTCTGCATGGCTGGGGAGGCCTCAGGAAACTTAAAGTCATGGCAGAAGGCACCTCTTCACAGGGCAGCAGGAGAGAGAATGAGTGCGGAGCAAAGGGGGAAGCCCCTTACAAAACCATCAGATCTCAAGAGAACTCAGTTTCACAAGAAGAGCCTGGGGAGACCACCCCCATAATGTAATCACCTCCCACCAGGTCCCTCCCCCAACATGTGGCAATTACAATTCAGATTACAATTCAAGATGAGATTTGGGTGGGGACACAGAGCCAGACCATATCACCCCTTTTATAGATGAGGAAACTGAGAGTCTACAGAGTTAACTAAGTTGCCCCGATTGCCAAGTAAAAGGCAGGGTCAGAATCCCTTCAGTGACACTGAGCCCAGATCTGCCCATTACATCACAGCTGCCGGAGTTCATGGCTAAGACCTTGGCCACGCCCACCCTATCCTAACCCGTCATAATCATCATAGATACCTCAGCCCCAACGAGAGGCTCCCGGTGTCTTCTGCAGGCCCGTGGCATGATGGAAAACACACTGGCCCATGGGTAAGGATACTGGGCTGAATAAGACTTTGCCTGTTAGCACTAGGGTGATACTGAAGCAGTCACTTCCTAAGGTGGGCAGGTGGGGTTTGTCTCCCGGATCCATGTCTACTAGGGCATCCACCACTCCATCCCACAGCTCCTAGGGAACAATCTCAGTGCCCTGCTTGTCCCCTGATGACAGAGGTAGGCATATGGTCCATGCCTACAAATCATACCCCACCCCCATCCACAGTTAATAGACTATGAATTGGACATGTAGCCCAAGCAGGGGAAGTCAGTGTCCCTTCATGGCATTTATTATATGGATGCTGGAAGAGATAGAGCACCTCCTCCTTAAGATCCCAAGATGGCAGCACCATGTATGCCTTAGGCTTCCAGTGGGTATCTTCCCACTGTTGAAAAAGAAAGCCTGCCTGAAAGAAAGCCACACAGAGAAAAGCAGAGTCAGAGGTAGAGAGAGACAAAGACACAGAACCCCTGAATCCAGCCATGCCTGAAGGCATTGACACTTGGAATTCTCATTACAAGAGCCAATACATTTTCCTTTTTGCTTAAGCCAGTTTTCATTAGGTTTCTGCCACTTGCAACTAAGAGGGGATATGTCTCCCCTCTCAGCCAAATAAGGGATCCGGACTCTGGGATGGCCCAAGTTCTTTCCTTTGTAGCAGCTGCCACCTCTTCCTCCCTTGCAGAAGAATCTCCAACGATTAACACTCTACTGCCTCCAAACCTCCAGGCTCCCTTCTGCTCAGACTCAGACTGCAGAGCTCTTGTAGAGTCTCAGCCTCCCAGACTTCTAGACTCCTTCCCATTCACCTCCTGGTTGTGTCGATGACGGGGCAAGATGAACAGGGCAATGGCTGTGTGGGCTTCTGAAGCCTAGGCCTTAGAAAATCTAAGCCAGGGGCAAGATGTTTCTCCAACTGCTTTAAGGGAAATTTTCTTTTAAATAGACTTGTGAAATCTTCATTTTCAAAATACCAACATGTCATTTAATTTTTTACTTCTCCAACTGGGAATATTGTCAAAAGATGGGCTTTTTTGTTCATTGTTTTAGTTCAGCTGCTCCTTCTCCCCTGCATGGAATTATTCTGAAAGCCACATGTGGAGGTAGATTGGGAGATGGGGGCGAAGGCGAAGAAGAGAGGTGCTCCAGGAAGAAGGGGGGAGCAGTCCCGCAGACCCGCTTGATACAGTAATCAGGGACCTAGCCACATCAGCCAGAACTCAGCTCCTGCTCTAGCAGAGACAGTGGCTGCCTACCTGGCAGCCTTCTCCCCTCCTCCTTCCTGGCAGGGACCCATTTTATTGGGGGGATATCCACCTCCTCCCCACTACAACTCAAAGCATGGTTACATTGCCAGCTCCGAGGGCATCTCCCTTACTAAGCCAACCACCGTAGGTCCCATTCCCCTGTCTGGGACTGATTTAGACATGGGTTTGTGACATAATTCTGGCCAAGAAGATTGAGGAGAAGCTTGCTGGGGCTCTCAGGAAGAGTTTCTTCATTGATTGACAAAAGGCATGACATACAGGGAAAAGGCACCCCTCATATTCACTGGCCTGTGGTGCATAAAGTCTGCCTAGGGTGCCTGGAATTGCTATGGTCACTTGGCCACCATGAGGAGGACTCATTTGAAGAAGAATCCGACCCTCTGAGCATGCGCAACTCACACGCTTCACTGAAAGCACCACCCTACCCCAGGGCCTTGGCATATGCAGTTCCCTCTGCCAAGAACGCTTTCCCTCGGCCCTCACCTGGCTCACCCCTCTACTTTGTTAACGTCTCTGCTCAAATATCAGCTCCTCAGATGGATTTCTCTGACTTCTCTCCCTCTGTCATTCTATTCTCTTCTTTGTTATTCATAGCTTTTAATTGATATTACGTTATATTTTTAAATTGTATAAACACACATTGTGTGTAATATATACATACACTGTGTCTATATAATATATAATAAGCACATATATATGAGTACATCTCAAACAGGCCAAGGAGCCCCTATCTGAAATACTTGAGACCAGAGGTGTTTCCGATTTTTTTCGGATTTTGGAATTTTCACAATAGATAATGAGGTACCTGAAGGATGGGACACAAGTCTAAAGACAAAATTTATTTATGATTTATGTGTACCTCATATGCAATGTAATTTCATTTTTCCTTTGGGGACCCAGGATAAACCGTGTTCTGCACCTGCGTTTTCACTGCGACCCATCAAGTGAGGCTGTATGTGAAATTTACTGTTTGTGGCGTCATGTTGGTGCTCAGAAAGTTTCAGAATTTGAAGCAATTTAGATTTTAAGGTTAGGGATTCTCAACCTCTATGTCATTGTACATATGCCATGCATATAATATACACGATATATATACAGTGTATGTTTATGTGTCTATTTATTATCTTTCACACAAGAATGTAAGTGCCATGAAGGCAAAGACTCGTTTTCCTTCCCCACTGTAACCCAGAGCCTGATGGAAGAGAGGCAGGAAGGCAGGAGGGCTGTGTGCTTGAGGACACCACGGAGCCTCTAAATTAGGCAGTCCTTGGGACTTCTTGCTTCCGGAGATAATATCTATTCCTTATTAAATAAGTGTAAGCCAGTCAGTGTGGTGGGGTTTTTTGTTTCTGGCCACTGAAAGCTCCCTGTTTCGTATACCTGTGCCGTTCCCCATCTCCAATGCCCCTCCCTGACAAGCTTCTCTGCTGCTCCCCTCCCTATCCAAGCTTGACTGCAATTCCACTCCCTCTCCAGAGCGCTTGAGAACCATGTTTTGCATCAGCAAACTCGGGGTCAAATCGCAGTTCTGCCACTTGCCAGGTGACAGGGACCTTTGGCAAGGTCCTTAGTTCCTCCAAGCTTCAGTCCCCTAGACTGTAAGACGGTAATCACAGTGACAGTGCCCGCCTTGTGATATGCATTCAGCAAGATAATAGGAGGGTTTCAGAATCAGCAGGTTTTGGGTGCAAGACTCGGCTTGGTCCCTTTCTGACAATCTGTCTGCGTCCAACCTCCTCCTCTGTCATATGGAGACAACAATGGGGCTGACTTGAATAAATTAAGGAGCTGACATGTATTAATTGTTTAGCACAGTGCTGAATAAGATATTAGGTGTGTGGGCCTGACACCTAATATCTTATTCAGTGGCTCATACCTGTAATACCAACACTCTGGGAGGCAGAAGTAGGCAGATCACTTGAGCCCAGCAGTTTGAGACCAGCCTGGGCAATATAAGGTAACCCCCATCTCTACAAAAATATTTAAAAAATTAGCCAGGCATGGTAGCCACCAGCTACTAGAAAGCTGAGGTGGGAGGATTACCTGAGCCTGGGAGTCTGAGACTACAGTGGCTGTGATCACGTCACTGCACTCCAGCCTGGGCAACAGAGAGACTGTCTCAAATCTATATATATATTAGGTGTGTGTAGGTACACCCATAAACATTCCCTTTCAGGGATGCAGGGGCCACAAGACCCAGCCTCTGCCCTCAAAAGGCCACAGGGGATGGGGCTAAAGAGACAGGAAGGACTCAGTTTCTGTGGGGCAGGCAAAGGTATATGGGTGTGCTTGGACAGGCTGACTCCTGGCTCTCCCCACACAGGGTCAGCCTCTTCCACCCCTGGAAGCAGTTTGCACTGGGCCAGCATCTTGCCTAGGTGGGAGGCCACAAGCCCCCTTGGCACTGACCTTGTGAATTTCAGTCCCAGGTCAGTTCCCCTCCACTGCTCACCGGAAGCAGCAGAGGCCTCTCGCTCATCCCTCTGCTAGGCTGGTTTTAAATTGAAGGCATTAGGCTCACTAATCGCCTGTAATCACCTTGTTTGAATTAGCATGGCAAGTGCTTCCGACTAAACGGTCTGTTATTCCAAATAACCCTCGTTGGTTTTAATTATGTACCCTGGAATGCGTGGCCTCCCAGTCCTCTGTAAACCGCAGGATGGGGCTTGAATCCTGACCTCCCCTCCACAGACCCCATAATAAGAAGAAGCAGGCAAAGGCCTTTTGTCCATCCAGACCCTCCCTTAGGTCTATTTTTAAACCCAACACAGGATGGAAGAGATGACCCCAGTGCCCCTCCACTGCCCCATTCTTGGGTTCCATCTGCCTCCAGCAACCAACAGAGAGCGGTGGCCCAGAGACCAGCAGAAAGCCCCCCCATCCCTTTCTGTTTGGCTTTGGAATATGCCACCCCATTCTTTTGTTCCAGACTGGGTTTCCTCATTTTGTTTGGCTTATGAAGTTATTATTGTTAACGTCACCCCAATTTACAGTTGAAGAAACAGACCCAGAGAAGTGGTGGTTAGCTCCAGGCATGTCAGAGAGTAGAGCTTCTGGAACTTCATATGTACACCAAGCCTGGAGATCTTGGTAAAATGCAGATTTAGAATCAGTGGTGCTGGGGTACAGCCTGAGAATCCTCATTTCTAACCAGCTCCCGGGTCTGAGGACTGATCACACTTTGAGTAACAGGTTGCTGTGGCGCTGGCTGCAGGGAAGGAGGTTCTAACATGATCACTCCTCTCCTGCAGGCACTGTGAGAGGCTCTTTACAATC